CAGGCTCGGGGTGGGAGGTGAGGGGCCCCCAGCAAGGCGGGCCAAAGGCTGGGTTGACTCCCACCCCCAGCAAGGATGGCAACACCCCACTCCTCCCACCTCCCCCTGCCCCCAAAATTCACCCCCTTGTCCCTTTTACAGACAGAGACCTTGTTTTGCTTTGTAAATCGGTCCTTACTCAAAGTGCTAGGGCTGTTTGGACATCATCTGGGTCACTGAACCCTAAGATGACCTTGGAAGGCAGGCACCGTTACTCCTCCTATTTCACAGATGAGGAGACTGAGGCCCAGAGAGGCAGCATCACCCTCCCGGGGCCGCACATACAAGAAGTGCTAGAGCTGAGGTTTGCCGTCTGTGTGCAGATGCTAGAACATTCGCTCCTGAGCCCCGCACACGGTGACGTGTCCCTCAGGGGCAGGGACACACAGCAGGGAAGAAAATCAACAGTAGCAACAATAATAATAAAAGCCACCCGACTGTCCCCATCAGTGTGCAGAGTACACTGCTGGGTGTTTCACGGTGTCATCTCTAATCTACTGACAGGCGACGCAGATCCCCGTGTGCAGAGAGAGCAATGGAGGCCCCGAGCTCTGCAGCAAACTGCCTGAGTACCAGAGCTTTAGAGGGTGGGGCTAGGACTCAAGTTCACTTCTGCCTCCAAAGCTCATCTCCCTCCCAACACCCGCCCGTGGGCTGTCCATGCTCTGGTTGGCCCGGGGTCTGCAGCTGGGCTGACTTTGGAGGTGGGGTGCCACCGGACCCAGATCCAGAGGGATCCAGGAGGTCACTGATGTCTGAACGACTATCCAAAGCCTCAGACCCATACTAACCGTCTGGGTCAGGGAGGGCTTGCTCTCTGCGAGGACTCCAAGGCATTTTCCCATTCAATCCTCCTAATGGCCCGGGGAGCTCAGAGAGGGAGAGCTGACTGCTGGGGTCACACAGCCTGGGGTCACACAGAGCTGAGATTGGACCCCAGGCCCATCTAACTCCAAAAGGCCACTCTTAGCTCCCACCTAGACTCAAATTCTAGCTTCTGCAGGCACAGAGCTTGAGAGGGTTAGTAAAGTAAGAGTATCTCTCCGTGACAGGCGGGTGAGGGCGAGGGTCAGGAAATCACTTTAGCTGTTTAATCGAGAGGCAGTGTAGTCTCCCGGTTAGAGGCAGCATGGTCAAGGGGTTAGAGGCAGAATGACTGAGTGCAGCTCTTGATCCATACCACTTGGGGTCCTTTCCAGGCTTAACCACTTGCTGTGTGCCCTTGGGCAAGTGGCCTAGCCTCTCTGTGCCTTGGTCATCCGTAACTTGGGGCTAAACAACACTACCTATCTCATAGGTTGTTGTGAGTATTAACACGAATGTAATTTGCAGGAAGGGCTGAGAACAACGGGTTAAACAGAGGAACTGCTAGGTAAGTGTTCATCTTCCACATCATCATCAAAAAATGGTGACCCTGGAGATGGGCTCCATGGTTGTGTGGAGCAGGGGCTTCCCAATTACTCAGTAACGGGGGTTCATCCTAAGGATGCCGGTGCAAACCAGGACATAGGGCTACTAGGCTGTATGGTGAGAATGCAAGCAGCAGCAATGCTTCACTGGGAGGAGGGGACCCGGGGGGTGAGCCGGGCTCGTGGAGGCAGGACTGGAGCCCAAGGACTCTTGGGAGCTGGGCAGCAGGCTCTGTGGGCATTCTCCTGGGACCCCAGCCTTGGAAAGCCTCAGGGAATGCATCTCCCACTCCTCAGGCGGGAACTTTGCCAAGCATTCTTCCCCATTTTGTAGAATCACGGGGCCCGTAGTGGTGTTGCCCATGGAGTTAGCATCACTGATAAATTACCGGTGGGCCAGTCTGTATGTGTGATGGTATTATGTTCAAGATGATTCTTCAGAGGCACGTGAGCATGTCAAATGCATGTTCTGTTCAATATTACCTTCCTGTCCAAACCTGTCTATGAGGAGTAGCACAAACACCTCAAATCCCTTTCTTACTTCATCTGGTATAATTGCTGTGTCCAAACCTTTCATATCGAAGTACATATCACTACACATTTCATTTGATTATTCCTTTATATTATAGTCTGGGCATTTTACAATGCATTTATTTTGAAAGCATATATGTAGGTGGATTATACGATCGATTTTATTCCAGGAAAGCAGAGGGGCTCTTACAGAATGATCGTCACGAGAAGGGAGTGCTGGTTCTGGTAGAGTTGAGAACTTTTCCACTTGAGGGTCTCGAAGGTTCTTCTGGCTCTGGCTCCTGTTATGTTTAAGGAGTGAACTGTGTTTGGGGACACCAAGGCCTATCGTCCCTGTAGCAAGGTGAGGCAGAGAGGAAGGTCAAGCCCTCCCTCTCCATGTATTGGTCAGGCTATGCTGGGTACAAACAGCCCCCAAGTCTTGGTGGTTTAACATCAATGGTTTATTTCTCACCCTGTGTCACATATCTAATGCTGGTCTAATGCTGGTCTTTCACCCAGTCATTCATAGACCCAGGCTGGCAGAGGCTTCACCTTCTTGCAACGATGCATCTCAGTGAATGGAAGAGAAGGGGCTGGAAAGTATGCAATAAAATGACCAGACTTCTGAGACATCTCAGAATCCACTGACCAGAATGAATCACATGACCCCACGTCATTTCAAGAAGACCCGGTGGCAACCTGCTCACACATACATACACCCTGTTGGCTGCCTTCCCTTCCCTGCTGATTCTTCCTGGGGTCATTTCTCAAATAAACTACATGCCCTTGAACCCTTGTCTTAGAGTCTGCTTCCAGTCACGCCCAAACTAAGACACCTTCACTCATCTCTGTATTTCTTATTCACTAATTAATTCAACCAGTCAGCAAATACCTTCTGAGCACCTACTGTGTGCTGGGTCTAGGCAGGCGCTGGGACTATGGACGAGACCGAGCCCAGCTCTGATCGAGCTCATTGTCTAGAAGAGCAGATGGCTCAGGACACACCAAAAGCCAAGTGCGTTGAGGTCCCCCCCGCCACTAGAGCCTTCAGTGGGCGCATAGTCCTGCTTGATTTTAGATTTCTGGCCCCCGGAGCTGGGTAACAATACATTTCTGGGGGATGGGCTTTTTCAGACATTATTTTTATGGTGCAAAAATATACTACATAACATCAAATTTACCATTTTAACCATTTGAAGTGTGCAGTTCGGTGGCATTAAAGTACATTCACACTGTCGTGTGACCCGCACCACCCTCCGTCTCCAGAACTTTCTCATTGTCTCACACTGAAACTCTGGGCCCGTTGAACACTAACCCCCTGATCTTCCCTCCCCCAGCCCCTGGCACCCACCGTTCTCCTTCCTGTCTCTATAAATCTGGCTCCTCTAAGAATGTCACATCAGGGGCATCATGCCTCATTTAGATTTAGCGACTGTCATATTTCACTTAGCACCCTGTCCTCGAGGACGCCCTAGCCCGGGTCGAATTCCCTTCCTTTTTAAGGCTGAATTGTATTCCATTTTATGGATGCATTTCGTTGATCCATTCATCTGTCAAGGAACATTTGGGTTGTTTGCACATTTTGGCTACTGCAGATAATGTGCTGTGAACACGGGCGTCCCAGGATCTGTTCGAGGCCCTGCTTTTGATTCTCGGAGGCTGTATATCCATAAACAGAATCACTGAGGGTTAGGGAAATTTCGCTGATAATTTTTTGAGGAATCACCGTACTGTTTCCATAGAGGCCACGCTATTTGGCACCGGTCTCAGTCCTTTGCTATGACGGCCCCAGAAAACCAATAAAACACCTCCCATGCATCATGTGCTGGACTCTGTGGGTTCCACGGTAAACCAGGCAGACCGTGGCCCTCCCCTCGTGATGCTTACCTTCTACTTGGAAAGATGGCAAATAAATGAGTAACGTCGTGTCAGGAGGTGAGAAGTGCTACAGACAGAAGCAGCATGGCTGAGTGTGTGTGTGTGTGTGTGTGTGTGTGTGTGTCTGTCTGTCTGTCTGTCTGTCTGTCGGGGGCATGGAAGGTGGGGGAGAGCAAGTCTTACTCGAACCTGGTCTCTGAGCCACAGTGCTGTTCCTTCTATCCTGCCTGATCTTGGATTTGGTCAAGACTCAGGCTGGCTTTGAGAAAGATATGCACACCGGAGGAAATGTACATAAACGCCAGGGCCCCATGGGGCAGTGGGTGCTCTTAGGACCCCGGGCTCCTGAGGTTTGGAGAAACCAAAGAGTACCCACTTAAGAACAGCAGGTGCTGGGACAGCCCAGGCTCTTCAGGAGGAAGTTTACCCTCCTTGGCCGGCAGGATCAGGCCCTTGTCCACCTTGGGCCCCGAGCCTGGGCCCTGCTATGCTTTAGCTATATTAACCTGCTTTCACGTCTTTAAATAACACACCAGCCCCCGCACACGGTCCCTTTCTGTTTGGAAGTCTCTTCCCAGCCTGGTTTCCCAAGCTGATTTGTCCCCATCCCTGAGGACTCTGTCTCTTCCTGGGAGCTCTCCTGGACCGTCTAGACTGTGGTGGATCCCCTCCCTGACACTACCCCCCTGTAACAGAGCTTGGCACCAAGTCGATGCCTGATGAATATTTGTTGAATGAATGAATGGGTCGGTGGATGGATGGATGCCGGACCCTGGCAAGCCACCCTCCTTTCCTTGTTTTCTTTCCCCAGGGCCACTGAGATTTGCCTCTGTCTGCCTTCCCCCAGGGCTCAACTGATCACACCAGTGAACCCAGCGTGGCCCCGGTCCTGGCAGCCGGATGGCTGATGCATGCAAAGTGGGCATCCCCTTGCCCAGCCGCCTGACCATCCTGGCGCGGCCGAATCCAAAAGCTAATGACATTATTGTGCAGAGACACAATGTCTGTGGGCATTTGCTGACCCGGGCTTTGGTGTGGGCTTAATCCAGCATTCTCGTCCTGCTTTCTGTGGGGACGTAGTGATCACCCGTCTTGGCACCAGCGCTCCTGGGGAAGGTATAAATGCCACTTCCCACCAGCTGGGCGCCACGGGCACTCTCGGGGGCTGGTGTCACTGGTAAGAATGCCTTTCTTTCTTGCCTTGCCTTTTTCCTCTCATCCTTATCCCTGATGGAAAACGTGGGAGGCCTGGGTTCGAATCCAGATGCCACCCCCTTCTGATGCGGGGACCTTGGGCAAAGACTTCTATGCTCTAAGCCTCAGTTTTCTTTTCTGTTAAGTGGGGAGATGGGTCATAAACCCTCTTTCGCCGTGGGTGGTCTGGTGCAGCACCTGGCACATAGTGCGGACCCGGACAATGCTCTCTATTAATATGAACAAGTCCATGAGCACCTTTCTTTTGCTAGTAACTAGGGAGGGTTTGTATGTGGAAGGAATCAAACCCGTGAAGGTTCAGCATCATTTCTAGGCTGGTGAGCCAGCTCTCCCTGTTTCCCCACTCCCGGGCGCCTGGTACACGTCCAGCGTTGGGGAACATCAGTGGCTAAGAAGCTGCCGGAGGTCTCTGGGCGCTCCCAGCAACAGAGGATTTCAAGGTCCCTGAAGGTTGGTGGCAATAACCCTAATAATACCATCGTGGCTGCCATTTACAGATGCCACCGCCAAGTGCTTGCCTTTTTCCCACATCATGGCTTCAAACCGTCACCACCTGTTCATAGATATTGTTGGGTGCCATGACTGCCCCCACTTGGCAGAACGGGAAACTGAGGCACAGAGGGGATGACCCACCCAGGGCCGCAATGACAACGGACAGTGGAGCCAGCATCCCCGAGCTGAGCCAACTGAGCTTAATCTTTAGCGTGCGAAGGCCGATGACCGGGGCTGTGCTGCGGGGCCTCTGACCCTGTGACAGGCTGGTTACATAGGAGAGCAGAGCGGTTTTGGTCCCCAAACTGCTTATTCGAATTTCTTCTCTCTGAGGGACGTCCTGGCCTGGCCTCTAGTGTGGAAGGGGCTTCTGGAAGCTGGACGTTCTCTCTGGAACAGGAGCTCAGGTCTCCCGTCTTCAGCGGGAACACGCAGTCTTGGGTTCACTGCCCCTCGTGCAGGAAAGAAGACAGTGCCAGTTTTCCAGACTTTTCTGACGTTCTTGCCAGCTAAGGAATGCTCCCAGCTGCTGCCTACCATGACCAGGACATTTCTGCATATCGCTGGGTCTGCGTTCTGCTCTGCTTGTCTGGAGCTGAGTGATGGGAACCCACTTGGGACCCGGCTGAAGCTCTAGTTCATCACCACTTTCTTAGCGGACCTCATTTTTCCCTCTGGAGCTGGCCTGGACACAAAGAAATGCAGCTAAGGTTGGAAGTTCAGACCGCCGCTCATGACCCCCGCTGCTCTGGGACAACCCGAGACCAGGGCGACCAAGAGCAGGCTCTAGGGCCAGAGAGGCACGGCCCCAAGGCCCCCAGGTGGGAAAGCCGAGGCCCCAGAGAGGTCCTCACAGCCACTCCCCGAATCTCTTCCAGGTCATTCCTGCACAGGACCACGCACTATGGCCTCAGACCACCAGACTCAAGCGGGCAAACCACAGCCCCTCAACCCCAAGGTGGGTACCATGGTGGGAGAGGGCAGGGGGGGCAAGCAGAGCACCTCTCCCAGACTCCGTTTCTCTTCTGGAATGTCGAGTTGGCATCTTTCTTCCTGAAGCTCCCCCTCTCTGGGCTTCAGTCTCCCCCACTTGCACACAGGGGTGCTGATTCTGAAGGCCCCTCCCAAACCCACGACCGGCGCGCCGAGATTCCTGACACCGGCCTCCAGCGTTGGTGACTTAATTTGTCTCTGCTTTACCCTGTACCCCAATGCCCACGGGGGGCTCCCCACAGCTGGGGCGGACCCACAGTCCAGTGTGAGAGGGGGCCTGTGAACGGGAGGGGAGGTGGGATTCCTGACCTGGAGACCCAGGCCAGTCGCTTGGCCTCTCTGAACTTCGGTTCCCTCCTTGGTAAGATGGGGACAACTGGGTTCGTGGTGCAGGGTGGGTGTGAAGAGGCCAAGGAAACCAGCTCAGCCCGGCGTGTGGTGTGCCCACCTAATACCAGTTGTTATTGCCCGCTTTGCTTCCTTGTCCTTCCCGCCCTCCTAGGATCCTGGCGGGGGGCGTCCTCGCCCAATCGCTGGGGGCTCATCCTACCCAATCTGTACCCAACCCTCTACCAGCAGCCATCTACCTGGTCGCCTCCGCCTGGCTCCCTCCTGTGGCCCTCTGCTTCAGGGGCCCCTGGCCTGGCACTGCCCTTTGGTCTGACATGGGGCCTCCCCAGCCTGGGGAAGCTTGAGCTGACGCAGCCCCCCACCCACTAACCCCATTCTTACTTTCTAGAGGAAAGGCAGACAACAAACAAACAAGTCTAGGACTTCGAGGAGTTGGAAGTGTTTCAGGAAACATGAAACAGGGGAAGGGGTGCAGAGAGTCAGGATGAATGAGGCAAGGCAGTGTTAGCAGAGGTGATCAGGGAGGCCTCTCTGAGGGAGGTGGCATTAGCGTGGAGACCCGGGTGACCAGCCATGTGAGTCAGGCGGGGGTAGGGGAGAACATTCCAGGCGGAGGGCGCAGCGAGTGCAAAGGCCCGGAAGTGGGAGCGAGTTGCGTGAGTCTGAGGACCAGCACAAAGGCCTCTGCGCTGTGTTCAGAGCCGCGCTGTCCCCTAGACAGAGAAAGCCAGCCACGCATGCGATTTAACCCGTCCTAGCAGCCACGCTAAACAGAGGACAAAGAAGGCACAGGAGAAATTAACTCTCGTATTCTAGTTCATTAAACCCGATACAGCCTCTTGTCGAATCAATAGAATCATTATAAGAAAGCAATTTTTGATTCTTCCCTTCCTATTCTGAATCTTCAAAAATCCGATGTGTCGCCTCCGTGATAGCATCTGCATTTGGACTGATCGAGCACGTCACGCAGGCAGGTAGCTAACGGCCGTGCATCGGGCAGCGCACGTTTAGAGGATTAGATATTGTGTAAAATGTTGAGCCCCCGTGGGGTGATAAAAAACAATAGCAGTAACACTAGTCCTGAGCTTCTGGGCTCTCCGAGGCCTTGCGTGAGGTTGCTGACCTTCCTTGTCCTCCCGGCTGCAAGTCCTTGTCTCCCAGGCCGGGGTAATCAGCACCGAGTCCCTAACGTATCTGTTCTTGAGTGTTCCCAGGATGCTGCAAAAGAAGCATGATTCCCCCATTTTACAGATGGGCTAGCTGAGGCCGGAAGCAACCAGGTTGCTTCCTAAGGTTGTGCAGCCGGATGCGACGGGGTGACATCAGAGCCCGTGGCTCCTGACCCTCCTGTGGTCAAGTGAGTGACCATAAAGGCTGGACTGAGCCCATGGAATTTGTCTCGGAGCCCCGTTGGGCCTCCCCGTCCTGGCTTTATCTCGCTAATCCCCGGCCTGGGAGAGAGGGACATGTCTACCCAGCCAGTGCTGACCGTGGGGATGGCGCAGCTGCCCCTCCTGGGGCCTACCTCTTCACCCGGGGCCGCTCCCTGGGGAAGTGTGGCCACAAAACCTCTGCGCCTCCAAATGTGCTCTGCAATCAGGGAAGGTGGCAGCTGGTCTCCTAGTTAGTGCTCTTGGGGGACCCCTTCAACCTCCCTGATGGGGATCTCGCTGGCCCCCTTCCCTGGGCTGCTGAGAGCTCCCGGTGAGGCAAAGGGAGTGGAGCCCCTTTAAGAAGCATCCCAGGGGAGGTCAGAGGGGACCCGCAGAGCCAGGGATGAAATGGGGTTACATGTGTAGGGTGGTGGGCTGGCTCTAGCAGAAGAGAAGCCCTACCTCACCCGTGAGCTCGTTAGAAATGCCGCATCTGGGGCCGCACCCCGCGACGTGCTGTCTCAGAAACCACGTCTCACCGAGATCCCAGGGGCTTTGTGTGCACGTGAGTTTGCAAAGTGCTGCCCCTATGGAAATGGCATCAGACAAATTTGGACTCCAACCTCAGCTCTACCACTTAGGCACCCGGGCTCTGTAGGACGTCCCTTAATTCACAGGAGTCTGCCTCCCACACGCGGAGCAAACACTGTGTGAGAACCGTTACGCTTCTCTGAATCCTTCCAGCAGCCCCATGAGGTAGGTTCTGTCATTTCCCATTTCACAGGTGGAGCAACTGAGGCTCAGTGAGGGGAAGTTCTGGCTCAAGGTCTCACAGCTGGTAACTGGCAGAGCCAGGGCTGTCTGACTTCGTGTTGGGTCGGTGACTCCCAAGGGAGGAGCCCAGCAGCATCCCCGGAGGCTCTCAGAGCCCCCTCCTCACCCCCAATGCCCTGCTTCCCACTTCCCCATGATGATGGGTCCGACCCTCTTCTCCTGTTGCAGATCATCATCTTTGAGCAGGAGAATTTCCAGGGCCACTCGCATGAGCTCAGCGGGCCCTGCCCCAACCTGAAAGAAACTGGCGTGGAGAAGGCAGGCTCTGTCCTGGTGCAGGCTGGACCGTATGTACTGGGGGAGGGGGGGAGGGGGAGGGGAGGGCTCACCTGGTTGGGCGCCACCAGGGTGAGGCACCTGGGCTGTGGAGCTGGGGGGATCTACCCTCATTGTGCCCCGGGAACGTGCGATTTGGTGGCTGGCAGCCTCTGGAGAGAATTTGTGCTTTGGGGTCAGATACAGCTGGGTTCAAATCCAGGCTCCACCACTTTCAGGCTGTGTGACGCTGCGCCAACAACTTCCCTTTCTGAACCTTGGCTTTCCTCCTCTGTGGAAAAAGCTTGACCCCAAGGCCAGCCACTTCCTCAAGGCAGGGAGATGACACAGTGACGCTCATGGACTTTTCTAGAGCTGCCAATCTCTGGCTCTGGGAGTGTCCTCCCTCTCTTGTGAGGTTTAAAGCCAGATGTCCTTCCCCAATCCCCTTCCCCAATCCTGGCCATACTGGATCTCAGCAGATTCACTGGCACATTTGGAGGCCAGCAGCCTTGGGTCCCTGACCCCGGAGAGAAGGGGACGTACCTGGTAGGATATGACCCTGCTCTGCTCATGGCGCATAGCTCAGCACAGCCCACAGGGGCCCGTTCCTTGTGGTTCCCTGACCTCTCCTTCTCTGCAAGAGCCTCAGGAATCAGGGGTGGCCACCCATGACCCCCTCCCAAGAGGTCAGGGATCCTGGTGGGGTTGGGGATCCCGGGTGACCCACCCCACAGCTCAAGGTTCTCAGGGAATTCTGCAGAGTGCAATGTCACTCGAGTCAGAGTCTGCGGGTGTGGAGAACCCGGCTGAAGGAACGGCCCCGTCCAACCTCCATTATCCGACACGCTCTGGGCATCTGGTGCGCCTGGGAGCATGTCTTCCCCGGCAAGTGACGTTTTGACCATTTAAACACTGTATCTGAGTCTCAGTTGCCTTTTTATGTTAACATTTGGATGGAAGAATTTCTCACATGGACTTGACCCCCCTCTGCTTTCCTTTTTTTTTTTTTTTTTTTAGAAATAGAACTATTGATATTTTTATTAAGGATTGTTGATGGTTCCCAACTGAGTTCTGGATGACTTGGAGGTGTCTGGAGTTTGATGGGGGAGATGGGCAGGTGTGAGCCCCAGGAGCTCGAGCGACTAGCCAGGGTCCTGCCAGGAGAAGCTTCGGGGCTGGCCTGACCTGCCCTCCCTCTGTCTCCCCTGCAGCTGGGTGGGCTACGAACAAGCCAACTGCAAGGGTGAGCAGTTTGTATTCGAGAAGGGCGAGTACCCCCGCTGGGACTCATGGACCAGCAGTCGGAGGACGGACTCCCTCAGCTCCCTGAGGCCCATCAAAGTGGTGAGCCTCCTGCCGATTCTTGCTGCCTCCTCTCTTTGCCATCTTGGATCCGGGGCTCTAGGGACCAGGGTGGAGCCTTCACCTCCGGCAGTGTGCGAACTTCTGACGGGCGGGGCACACTTCCTGGCTGTGTGACCTAGCATAAGTCGTTCACATCCCTGGGCCTCAGTTTCCCCGTCTGTAAAATGGAGATATTCAGATCTACTGCCCTGAGATTCCTGGGGTTAGAACCCATCACAGATGAATTGCTTGATGAATGGTAGCCATCCTAACTGTGAAAAGAAAATCTGGGATTGGGTGTGGAGGAAAAGGTGGGTTAGCTCGTGGTCATAACTCATGCCGGCGGGACCTTCTGGTGCTTCTCTGAGCCTGATTTTTACTAGAACGTGAACTCTTAGGGAGGGACCAGGGCCTGGTAATGCTTGGGTCCACTCCCAAGCCTCCCCAAGGCAGGCCAGCTCTCCCCAGAGCTTGACGGAAGATTGGAGAACTTTGGACTTAGCATCCCATGGACCTGGGTTCCTACGTTGGCTCTGGCGCTCCCAGCTGTGTGACCCTGGGCAGGTGGCTTTACCTCTCTGAGCCTCGGTTTTCTCATCTGCCAGATTGCATAAGAGCCTTTAAAGGATTAAAGGGGATGACTAAGAAAGATATCACAGGAACAGGAGGATGAGAGGAGGTGGGGCAAGGAAGGAAAGCCAAAATATCTCACGTGCTTGCTTGGGGCCCCTACCCATGTGTAGATCAGGGCTGCCATTTTTGTTTTTGTTTTTGTTTTTGTTTTTGTTTTTATAGGGAGCTGAGGGAAAATGACACATCAGAATTGAATGTGCCTTAAAGTGTAGACTCTGAAGTGTCACATGAAGACAGCCCAGTGGGACCCCAACAAACGGCCCGTGTTTAACTGCTGTTGTTGGAGACAATTGGGTGGCAGGGTTACAGAGCAGGAAGTCTATAGGTGGATTGTGCTGGTCCCAATGCTGGGGCATCTGGATGGGTGGGAAGGCTCACCCTGGCCTCCTCTCCCACACTCACTTTCCCCGCTCCCTATCAACAGGACAGCCAAGAGCACAAGATCATCCTCTACGAAAACCCCAACTTCACGGGGAAGAAGATGGAAATCATAGACGATGATGTGCCCAGTTTCCATGCCCACGGCTACCAGGAGAAGGTGTCGTCAGTGCGGGTGCAGAGTGGCACGTGAGTGGAGCCCCAGCCCCGGCTCCCCCTGCCCCAGGAGCCCAGACTGCTGGGATCCTGAGTCCCGCTCTGTCCTGGACCCTGCTGATCTTGTATACTTGCGACCTCGGTCTTCCCTTTGGAAAACGGGCATGGAAATCAGGCGCTTGTCTGTGGCTTTCAGCCCCTGTGGTCCCGTCCAGATCTGCCTTTTGGCCAATACCCTACCTCTGGGGGAGAGAAGGCGTGGCCTTAACCTCAGTCCCCAGGAGCAGGACCGTGAACGTTAGTGGGGTGCAGATGAGGCAGAGGCAGGGGGAACGGAAGGGTAGAGATGAGTTGAGTGGTCTTAACAGAGCTGTGAGTGGCAGGAAGTCCAGCCAATGTTGTTTCTTTACTGCATGAGTCCCTGAGTTTAGAAACAGGATGTGTCATTTCCCATTGAATTAAACTTCCTTGGTACATAGACTCTGGCCATCATCCATGGGAATTTCTCCTTGTGCAAAACTTCGATTCTCTGGGGGTCCGCAGATGGGCTACGGGCAGTGGTGAGCTGGAGCCGGCTTGTACCACCCTGCAAGAGCCGATTCCTCAATTTTCAGAATTTTTGTGAGCTGGTTGTTGAATCCTCGGTAGCTCAAAAATCGGCCGTAGTGGAAGTATTTACACCACAGAACTTGGAATATGTTACAAATCAAGACCCCCTTTCCCTCCAGAGAGCTGGTTAAGCAACATGTACTGGCTTTCTGGGGTTCATCGGGCTCCTAAAAGAGTGTGAAAGTTCTGTGTTCGTGGTCCTTTTCATTTATTTATTCATTCATTATTCAGTGTGTTGAGTGCCACCACGTGCCAGGCATCATGTTTGGTGCTCAGTATGTCAAGGTAGATTAAAGAGACCTGGCTTCTGCTCCGTAGAGCTAACAGCCTCGTTGGGGTCAATAGTTAATAATTTAAGAATCCACCACAAATCTGGACTTCCTCCCTGAAGAAGGGACTCTTGAACTCAGATCCCAAGAAAGAGTAGGAAGTGCGGGTGTAAAAGAGAGGAAGGAAGGTCATTCGAGACAGAGAACAGCATGGGCAAAGGCCCTGTGGTTGGAGGAGCCTGGTGAGTCTGAGCGACTCTACAAACTCTAGGCTGCTAATGCACAGAGATATAAGGACACAAGACCAAGAGGTAGACCTGCAGGTGCACACAGGGGTTGGCCAGGCAGGTCCTTGTTGGCCAGGACTTAGTAACATTTTGGGGCAAAGAAACTGTAACTTTCATTAGGTGCTCCCAAGAGTGAAGGACCCCCTCATAGATGGTGATGACTTCACATGACAAAGGGATTACAGAGGGTTCCTAGGACCTAGGCTATTCTCCTTTGGCCTTACAGCCAGGCATGGCATTGGGATGAAGATGGAGAGAGGCAGTTAAGAGACCTGTCTTATTCTAGGCTTCAGTGGGCTTGAGATCACCCCTTCCTCTGAGCTCAGTATCAGGCCTTCAGTCAAAAGTTGCTTCAGCAGGTAGTGAGCTCCCCATCAAGAGAAGGAAGAAAGCAGAGGCTGGATGCCAGAAGGGTGGTGTTCCTGCTCAACGATCAGGAAGTGAGAAGTGACTGGGAACTCCCCCCTTCCTAATGGCTTAAGGATGCTCTCCTTCTCTCTCTCTCTCTCTCTCTCTCTCTCCCCGTCTGCTTCTCCTCTGTCCTCCACACCCCCTCCTCACCTCTGGCCTGCAGGTGGGTCGGCTACCAGTACCCTGGCTACCGCGGGCTGCAGTACTTGCTGGAGAAGGGAGATTACAAGGACAGCGGGGACTTTGGGGCTCCCCAACCCCAGGTGCAGTCCGTGCGCCGCATCCGCGACATGCAGTGGCACCAACGGGGCGCCTTCCACCCCTCCAACTAGTGCCCCCCTTTTCCTCCTTCCCAGGGGCTTGGTCTGCTGCCCAGGACCCCCCACCCCAGACCTCCTGGCGAATGAATAAAGTGTGACTTGCAATTTGTGTGTTGCATTGCTTTTTATCTCCAATGGGAACTGGAGTGGGTGTTGGGTGCGTGCTTGTGTGTGTGTGTGTGTGAGAGAGAGAGAGAGAGAGAGAGAGAGAGAGAGAGAGAGAGAGAGAGAGAGAGAGAGAGAGAGAGAGACTGAGAGAAATAGAACCAGACAGTGTCTGGGCTGGGGTAAGTCTGCAGAGCCCTCACGGAGACTCTATGTAACTACTTGGCTGTGTGACCTTGGGCATAATGTCCAACCTCTCTGAGCCTTTGTTTCTTTGCCTGGCTTACAACCACTTTTGCCCCATGAGTGGCTGCTTGGCTGACCTCCTAGCTCCCTTTTCCATGGTGGTTGAGAACCGCCACTCGTGGAGGCACATGGAGGATGCTCCAGTCCCTAAAAATGTATCTGCTGCCTGCGATTCCCACTTAGTGTGCAATCACCTTGAGCCTGGCAGTTTTCTTAGATCAGCCGGAGGAACCAAAAACCCTGCAATCTCACCCCGTCCCAGAGACAAGTCTTAATTACATGTTTCTGCATTTGTGTGTTCCTTGCTCCTTCTGTGCATCATTTGGTGGGCTTGATCACTTAGCATCACGGTCAGCCTGGATTCTAATGGCTGTTCCAGAGCCCTGACCAGTGATCTGGCCTCAGACAAGTCAGTTTGCATCTCAGAGCCCCCATCTTTGTACCTGGGGAAAAAATAGCACCTCCCTAATCTGGTTTTGGTGGAGATGAAATGAGATAACTCAGGCATTCTCCGGATAACTGGTCATCATTTGCTGGTTATCTGTATTACAAATATCCACTCCCAGAGGGCAGCTTCTTTTCACTTTGGATTCAGTACCTTTTGATGTAGTGGTTTTAAATTTTAATGTCATCTAACATCAATCTGTTCCTTTATAGTCTGCACCTCCCCTGCACCTTTAAGAAATTCTTTCTAACCCCAGGTCACAACTATACCCTCCAATATTTTTTTTTTTCCTGAAAGTTCGCAAGTTGTGCTCCTCACATGTAAGTTCTCAATCCTTCTGGAGCTGATTTTTGCGTACAGCGTGTGGCAGGGATCTAGGTTCTTTCCGGATCTCCCTTTTTCCACTTTGGGCCACTGGGGTGCTGGAATCATTTCTTGAGAAGTCCATTTCCCCCACTGCGGAACAATGCTACCTCTGTCTCATATTGGATTGGCACATATGCTCATGGAGAGCCAACCCTGCTGACACCTTGACCTTGGACTGCCAGCACACAGCATTGTGAGAGAATAAATTCCTATTGTTTAAGCCACTCTGTTTGGGACAATTTGCGATGGCATCCCTAGGACACTAATGCAGTGATGGCAGAGGAAGGGGCCAAGGACACCAAGAGAAGGCAGAGAGACTGCCTGGGGCATCACACCTCCCAAAGAAGTAGGGCTGTTGAAGGAAGAGTTGACATTTTCCAGGCGAATCTTGGGGAGAAAAATCTTGGCAAAGGGAACAGAATATGCAAAGTTAGGGATGAACATTGTGTGTTCCAGTGTTTTAGGCATAATGGGCACTTCAGGGCATGGAAACTTTGAAAGTTGGCTAAGCACAGAGTCCTGAGAGATTGCATGATGATGATGGTGATGATGATGATGATGATGATGATGATGATGATGTGTGGTAGGTGGCACCAAGAGGGTTTCCACTCATCTATTCCTTCATATCAACCTACCCAAAACTTAGTGGTAAAACTACAACAATCATTTGTTTCACTCACATGTGTCATTTGGGCAGGACCCCGTGGGGACAGCTCATCTCTGCTCCCAGTGGAGTCATCTAGGGTAGCTCCAAGCCCGGGGGTGAGTCCCATGGCTGGGTATTGGTGCTGGCTGTTGGCTAGGACCTCAACTATGGCTCTCAGATCAGAACCCCCCCCCACACATGTGGACACTCCGTGCAACCACTTCACTTCCCCACAGCATGGTAGCTGGGTTCTAAGAGCAAGTGTCCCCAGAGGAAGGTGGAAGCTTCATGGCATTAAGACTTAGCCTCAGAAGTCATACAGCATCACTTCTTCCATACTCTATTGGAAGGGGGCGGGGTCACATAGGTGGACCCAAGTTGGAGGGGAGGAGACAAAGTCCCCACCAGGAAAGAGAGGAAGGTCAGTGTATGGGAGGAGATCTATTACCATGGCCATCTTTACAAAACACACTCTGCCAAGGGGAAGGAGACACGGGGAGTGGGCTTTGACAAGGCAGAACAGATAGCCAGGGTCCACACGGCCATGGGTGGGACACTCTCTGGGCTCCTCGTCCTCTTCAGTGAAAGAACAAGGCTGGACAGGATGGCCGGTTGGGGTCACTCTCCTCCTCTGTTGCTTTGATTGTTTCTACTTGTCTTTGTGTTTCCTTGTCTCTCTCTCTCTCTCTCTCTCTATTTTCCTCTATCTCTATCTTTATCTCTCTTGGGACTTTATCTTTGCTGCTATCACTGCCTCTTTCTCTTTGTTTCTCTCTGTTTATTTCTGTCTCCCGCTTCCTTTCCTAACCCCCCCCTTCATCCTCGCCGCCTCTCTCTGTCAAGCGGGGGCTGAGCTCTGTGGGTCCCTTTCCCCACCCCGCCAACACCTCCAAGCGTGGACCCCTCTGCCTCCGCTCAGGTCTCCCCAGGGCCATCCGCTAGGCGCAATCCCGCCTCCAGCCACCAGGTGTCAGCAGAGCGTCATCCTCAGGCTCCCTCGCCAGGCGGCCAGCTGTTCGGCCCCTGATTGGAGCCGAGCCCTGTCAGTCATAGCGGCTGCCAGAGCTGGGCGGGGCCTCAGAGCCTCTCCCAGGACAGTGGGGCAACCGAGGCTCGGGAGAGCGAGATCTCACTGAACAGTGACAGAGCAGCGACAGGTCTTACGGTCCTGTTCCTTTCTGCAGCTCTCCTCCCCAAAGCTTGCTGGGAGGGGAAACAAACTCAGCGCCAATTCTTTGCATGAGGAAGGTGCTTCCAAATCACCGTCTCTCCCACTGTCCCTGGAAGCAAATAGCAAAGCCTCATCCTGCCACTCAGACGTATGGCTTAGAGTAGACGCTCGGTGCCTCAGTTTCCCCTGAGATGAGGGAAACACCAGCGCCGGCTTATTAAGGCTGCAGTGAGGATTCAGTGAGATGTCATGCGTGGTCTTTGGGGCAATGCCAGCCACAGGCAGGGAGTCAGTAAATGAACCCAGTGTGACAAGTGCTAAGGGGGAGGCTATGATATCGTGGGTGAGGTCAGGGAAGGCCCCTGGGAGAAGTCCTTCAAGCCGGGTTTTGTAGGACGAGTAGGAGTTCGTCCGGTGGCACAGGACGGAAGTGCTTCAGCACATTCACTTGCCAGTTTGCTCATTCACTCCCATCCTCCTCCTCCTGCTTCTCTGTTCTCTTCCCGGGCCTTGCTCTTCCTCTCCTGCCCTCTCCCTCTGCTTCCTCCTTCTTTGTCCTTCCTCTCCCTTTTCCTCCTATTGCTCTGAATTCCCTTTGCCCCCACCTTTTCTTCATTCCCCACCTCGCTCTTTCCTTTACCTCTTCACCTCCTCACCGTGGGCCAGGGATCTGTGTTTCACTGATGCAAGGCCAAGATGAGAATCACTGCTCTAGGGTTTTGTATTTCCGCAAAGAGTTTACCTTTCTGCGTCTTTCTTTAAAATAGGCAGATGACGTTCATGAACACTTTACGACTAAACCTGTTATTGCAGGAAGTTACTTTTCTTTTTCCTTTAAAGAAGACAGACTAGGGGCGCCTGGGTGGCTCAGACGGTTAAGCGGCTGCCTTCGGCTCAGGTCATGATCCCGGGGTCCTGGGATCGAGCCCCGCATCGGGCTCCCTGCCCAGCAGGGAGCCTGCTTCTCCCTCTCCCTCTGCCTCTGTCTGCCGCTCCCCCTGCTTGTGCTCTCTCTCTGTCAAATAAAAAAATAAAAAATCTTAAAAAAAAGAAAGAAAGAAAGAAAAGAAGACAGACTTGAGTGGATTGGGATCTCCTTTCTCTACATTAATCCAGGAACGAGGAAAAGACCAGCCAGGTGGACCTCACTGCCATTTCCAAGGCAGCAGTCAGAAGTTTGGGTCCAAAATATCAATCTAAATATTGGTCAAATCCTTTTTTCCCCCTCAGACAGTAGCAGGTGCTTTATTTTTTTTTAACGTTAATTATTATTATTATTATTATTATTATTTTTAGTAATCTTTATACCCAACATGGGGCTCGAACTCACGACCCCAAGATCATGAGTCGCACGCTCTTCCGACTGAGCCAGCCAGGCACCCTGAGTGGGTACTTTATATTCATGATTATCACTGACTTGTTCCATCTTCTTATAATGGTCCGCTCGTCAGGCCCTCCCATGAGCCCCTCACCTTCATGACAGATGCAATTGTAATTATTCACAATGTGTTTGGCCCTGCTTCCCAACTGGACTGGAGACTTCATGAGGACAGGGAAGGGGGTCCTGCTCACAACTCCACGCTGCCCCACCAGCGCGCCCACACAGCACCCCCCCACCCGCCAGTCGGTGCATTGGCTGGGCTCATGCGCGGTGCCCTTCCTGCTTCCCTCGGAGAAGCTTTCCCTGATCCCCTGCTCCTCCAGGTTAGTCCTCAAATGCTCATGCAGCCTGTGCAATAGGGAGGAAACACTGACCTGCCAAAAGAGCTCTATGTACTGGATCTCCGATCTCCACCGAGGGGAGCCGGACCAGGGTGGCCCGATTCCAGTTTCCTCCGTGCCCGGCATGGGGTAGCCCGACCCTAAATGACTGTCTGCATGAATGCATGGGCAAATGCAGTGTTCCCAACTTACATAGTTCTTCTTCTGAGCTCCTCTCCTCTTCCCCAAGTCCACCCACAAATGCCCACCTCACACTCATCACGATGGTAGCTCAATGGTTAGTTGGGTAGCTAGGTAATTACTTATGTAATGCTGGTTTTCCATTAGAATGGAAGCTCTAAGACATGCCTCAGTGTCGCTGGTACCACGACCGGTTCATGGTGGGCGTTCAGGGATTGCTGGCT